TTTTTAAAACTTTAAAAATGACGGGGAGAAAAAACAAAAAAGCATGTAGTGGGACGAACTTAGTTTGACGGAACCATCCAGACCAAGAAGGATATTATCCGATTTGATATCGCGATGGATAACATGCCGGCTGTGAAGGAATTCCAGCGCTTGCAGCACCTAAAATTCGTACAAACAAACTAATCATAACCCACGATATTGGATTTCCGCGAAAGGAAAACAGAAAATTCCGAAAAATAGCTTTTTGACAAATTCAAGCACTGCGAAAACTTACTTCTCTGCACACCGCCGCAATCATACCCTCCTCCATTTGGCATTCCGTCACCACATCTGTTAATGAGCCACCTGCCAGATATTCCATTACAACCTGGAAGCACCTCTTTTTTCGAAAAGCAATCACAGATTTGGTGTAACGTCTCTACACTGACAGTCCTAGCGATTATCAAGTAAAAAGCCCCCCTCCCCCTCTCCTTTCGATCACTTTCTGTGAGAAAATTGCAGCACTCGGAAGTAATCCGTGCACTGATATGAATTAGATTTATTATATATAATGCCTAAAGCGACCACCGACTGGCTTCTCAGATATACTCGAATGCTTGAGCAGCAGCTGTATGTCATCGATGTTCGTTGTCACATCGATCGATGCAGCGCTGGCAACTTCTCCATTCGATTCGTTGTTGCGCTCTCCGAGTCCACGCGGTACCGTGCGGACGTACCATGGGGTCCTTTCATCCCACTGGTGGCCTCCCCAGTGTTCGCTTGACCGTGCGCAGGTATCACTTTGTGAATAGGCGGTTTGCTTTCTCATTTACGCGGCTAGCTAGCCAATTGGTAAAAAAGAAAAGTTTTTTTGACAATCTGTACGACAAACGACCATAGTAATGCCGCAAAGCACGGTGCAGCACCCCCTTTGTTATTTGTCACGATTATTTCCCTTGTCTTAGCACAACTGCACATCTTGGATACACGCAATGGCAGTCCGGCTTATTTAACAAGGGCTGATGATAGGTGATCCTGAAATACTTAAATGCACGCAGCAGGATTCGAACCCATCACTCTCTCTAGTTCTGCGCTTCGAAACCACTGAGCCATGCGAACCTCATGCCCTTACCCTCAAATTTCACTAAAATGTGAAAAACGAATAAATCCCCAATACAAGTGCATAAGGATTCCAATATAAGTCACATTTATACGGCAATCCCAGTCCCTCCTCATCATGATCTTAGAGTGCTTCAGGACGAGGCAGTGATGCTCTAAAAATGCACCGAAGACATCAGGAATGCCCACTGGAACTCAACGTTCCTCTTCACGTACGAACACGTGGAATTTGACGTAGTCCACAAACAAGGCAGTTGGGTTGCCAGAAATCTTTGCCATAATTTGTCTCAATTCGTTTAGCTAGAAGCCCCTAGCCCCTCCTCACTTTTACAGAAGAAACGAACGTTAGGATCGCCAGTCATTGACCAACAAGTGATCGATGCAGTACTGATCAAAGCAAATGGAGAAGTTGCCAGCTGCATCCCAGCTGATTCGAGCATCCGACACTTATTATCACAGTATTCAGTGCTTGCCTAACCCTCAAAATGAGAATGTTTCTTACCCATAGATCATCACCAACGAGATACGAATCGAGATAATTGACAATATTGGCATGCTTATTCTCACGCATAACAAGAATCTCGTTAATTATGAGCTCCTTCTTGGGCTGTTGTGTTAAATTCATCTGCTTTATTGCTACCTCCGCACCTGTACTGATCTCAATTGCAGTGAACACCGATCCCGAGGCCCTGAAAAATTACAATGTTTTGGTGTTGGTACTCAAACAACTTATATTTATAGTAGCCGTACAGAACGATGGCACACATATGGTACTTATTTAGAAGCGATCAAATGTGGTGATACTTGAGTTTTTGCCCTAAAATCGTGAAACGACAAACAGCTCATTATAACAGCTATAATTTATACCTAGCAGCAATTTGTGATTTTATAAATTCTTAATTTCCATGGCCAAAGTCCCACACTCTCTGATTCAAATCTCAGTACCGCTACAATCAATGTAAGCAGAAAGTTAATAGTTTGGTAATATCTTGCCAGCAAAACACCATACATTCAGCAACAGTTGTTATCAAAAGTTAAAACCCAAGTCTTCTTCATGGACCG